TGGGAAAGATACAACTCCCAACCTGCAAAATGTCCAATGTGCAGCATTCATACCCCCCAAATATCAAAGAATGAATTCGAGCTTAAGAGTAGCAAAGGTTTATTAAGAGGAATCTCCTGAGAGACAAGAGGGGTGTGTCTGGAGTGGGCAGCCACCAAGGGTCTTCGTCAGGGGCAAGTCACCCAGCAAAGTCCCAGCGTGGTACAGTGCAGTCAAACTGTGCTGTGCTCACTTCAGCAGCACAGATACCAAACTACAGTCAACCTGAAAGATTACAGGTAGAGCAGCTTAGCTAGTACCGATCCAATAGGGAAAGGAATCACACAGTAAGGGTACAAGGAAAGATCAAAGGCATTTTTGGGAAGGGAGAGGAGTATCGGTCCAGATGTTCTGGTCACCTATCTAAGAGTGTGATGCCTATCTGAGCTGGCTGGACCATGTGGTGCTAATTACAGTATAACCTCAGATAGCTCCTTATCTCCCGGGCCTGGCTTCTGGGTCTCCATCCCGAGGCCTGGCTCTCTGGTCTTGCCTCCAGCCACAGTTCTGATGTCTCTATTTTTGTGCTGATTTCCTTGTAGGCCCAGTCCCTCTCTCACTGTATACGAATGTCTACCTAGTGTAGCTGCGTGTAATAATAACTGGGAGCATCAGATGGATGAACACAGAAGAGGAAATGTGGGGGGAAGTTGACCGATGAAATGGCTAACTTGAAAAGAGCATAAAGGAGTAGTTCTCAGACTTTACCGTGTACAAGAATTGGTGGAGGGCTGCTTAAAAGACAGACTGGTGTGTGCACCCCCAGAAACTGCAGCCTACTAGGTCTGAGTGGGGCTCCAGGATTTGCATTCGGAACGAATTCCCAAGGGGTGCTGACGCCGCCAGTCTATCCCCAGGCTTTGAGACTAAGTAAACAAGTAAAGTGGCTCCAAATCCTGGCTGCACACCAGGCTCATCCCGGTTGAGTTTCTCAAATAGCGACGACGCCAGGGCCTCACCCCAAGATTATGATACAACAGAAGGCCGGGGAGGCTGGGCACGGGTAGTTTTAAGGCGCAACACACTGCAGGTGTTTCCAGTGTCAGGCGGCTGAGAACCACTGGGGCTGAGCCTGCTGGAACAGCGGGGAGTCTAGGGTGGGGAGTCAGGTCGAGTCTGGGCGTAGCAGATTTAATCATGTTTGTCTGAGAGTCTTTCTGCAGGGGTTCGAGAATTCTCACTGAATAATCTTTCCAATGCCCTTTCCGTATTCAGAACCGACACCTTTCAAACGCATTTCTGTGATACACACGTCCACTACGCTGCACAGGCCCGGCTGACTTTTTTCATTCAACCATGCTGCCCCCTAGCGTCCGTACTCATTAGAATTGTGCAGAACCCACCTCAGCCGTCAACGTGGTGATTTCCAACTAGCTAGCTAAACAAGGCGGGAAATTTTTCTCTGACCTGAAAAAAACAATACGCTAATTTACTGTGAACGAATTACATGTTAACGTGGACTGGGCGACTCCCCAGCTGTGGCTGTGCGAGCGCCGGGGGTCCCTCCCTGTTTGCACCCCGTCTGCTGCCGTCAGAGCACGCAGGGCGCTGCGGAGCTGCCGGAGGGCGTCCCAGAGACGCCTCGCCTTTGCCCCACTTCTGCAGCCACCTTCTGCTCCCTGAGCCGCAGTGTACTGAGAACAGACGCGGTCAGACAGGCGCTCCGCGCCCCGCTGGAGTGCCACAAGCCGGGCGGTCCTCCCGCCCAGCAGGAGCGCCCCACCGCGCCCGGGGGCTTCCCCTGGGGGTCCGCGCAGCCTGCACCGGCCCCTCTCCTCCTGCCTGCCCGCCCCCGCTCGGCTCCTTGCTAACTCCTTCTTCCCAGCTCAGCCCTGATGCACACAGGCCGACGCCTACCTCTCCCGGCTGAAACTCCTCTTTGGCATTAAGCACTCCTCAGCCGCTCAGGGTCCCTTTTCACCCCCTTGCAACCCTGTGGGAAGCTCCTCCTCGGACCGTCTCCAAAGCCTCCCTGCCCGCACCGTTCCGCCGCGGCCTCACCCCGACCCTGGCTGCGTCTCCCGCGGAGACCGCTCCTTGCGTGTGGACCGGGCTGCGGCCCTGCCCGGGATGAGCACGGCCGTCCGCCCTGTGGGCACACTCCCGCAGCGCTCTCTGTTCCCGGTTCGGAAATATCCCGCTCCCCTCTGGCTTCCTTCCTGGCCCCCTGGCTCCTGATCGCCCCGCACAGGGTCCTCCCTCTGACCACAGCTAGCAATGACAACGACAACCTTCTCTCGTTTCTTTCTGACTTTTCGTAGGCAGTTTCACCCACTGCCATGGATTTATAGTCAACAGAGTAAGAGTTAAACACACCACATCCAGCAGATCGTTCATCCTCTTGGGTGTCCAGTTCTCTCTCTCTCTCTTTTTTTTGGTACCAGGAATCGAACTCATGACCTCAGGCTTTCCAGGCAAGCGCTTATGCCACTGAGCTATATTTCCAGAACGAGTGTCCAATTCTCGTCTCCCCTTTAGTATCTCACAGGCATTGTACCTCAAAGAAGAGCCCTTGATTTTCCTCCCAAAACTTTCCGCTCCCAGGAAACAGCCAGAGATCTGGAGATACGTTCCTCTCTTTCCCTTACTTACCGCAGTCTCTACCTTTATTGACACCGTCCTCCAAGTCCCCCCTCGCCCACCTAGAACACCGCAGTGCCTGCCTAAAGACCACCCTAGCTTCTCAGGCGGGCCCTCCACACACAGGCAAAGATGGTGTTCTGAAATGCAAAGGAGGATGATGGAATATGTCATTTCCTTGCCTAAAAAAAGTCAGTGGCTCCGTTACACTTTGAATACAAACAAACAGCATGGTTCGCCTTCTGCCAGCTATCTCCGTCCCATACCCCTAGCATCCCTCCATACTACCACATGGCTGCTCCTCGCACATGGCTTCTTTCCAGTGGCCAGAATTCACCAAGCCCTGCCCTGCCTCAGGGACGTGCACTTGCTATTTCCGGACACGTTCTTCCCCTGTTCCTCACATAACTGGCTCCTTTTCACCCTCAGCATAACTCTTCAGTGAGACCATCTTTGCCCTAAGGAGTCTTCCCTTGCAGTTTTGATCTCAGCCTCCTTGTGTCTTCCACGGAGCACTTCACATTTTGTAATTACTTGTTTACTTCTCTGTCTTCCCCACTCAACTCTAAACTCCCTGAGTTCAGGAACTTTGTGTCTTTTTTACTCAGAAATGAATTCAGCAATTTGCACAGTACCTGGCAACACTATATTTTTACTGCCTGCATGTTGAATAGGTGCGTGAATGTGCACCCAGTCGCCCCCTCCGCCCGGCTGAGCTGCTGGTTCAGGCCTTCGGTGACTTGCACGTGGCCAAGCCACCTGACTGTTCTGTACTCATCTTACTTGACAGCAGAGACTGAGAGAGGGAACAGGGTCAGGATCAGTTTATTTTTTGTGAACGTGTTAAGCATTTACCACCCTGTTCCGCCCACCCCAGCACCCCTAGCACCAAGAGCAACAGACACTGATAAATGGTGTTTGAACAACCTCGTGGCTCAGAAGGAAGGCCTATGTAAAGGGAGGGGCCCTGGCATGATGGTGGAGGTGTCTGCTCTGGGCCAGAGATTTAATAACGGCTTTCAACTTCCAGAAGAGTTTTTAATTGACACCTATTCCACTTGTACTCTAAAAGAAAAGAAAAGAAGGGTTCTTATTATTTTTCTTTTCATCACATTTGTTTAATAAAGGGAAAATGAACTTCGTAGTTTAGTTGCTGTGATTTAACATTTGGGAATTTTTATCCAAGAAGAAAATATTCAGCTTACAAACCAAATTCTACCTCTGTTGGCCAGTAGTGAACGAAAGCATTCTCGTCTTCCAGAGAACCCAAAGGCAACTTCAAACAGCTCACATAAGCCAAACGACAATGAACTGAAGACACTCACCCGGCCTTCTCCTTCCAAACCCCGCCCCAAGCAGTGCTTACCTAGGAGAAACAAAAAAAAAAATTCATCAACGTCAGTTCTACTTTGAGACAAGGACTGGACTTTTCTAGAGAACATGTAACCTACTGGTATTTATTGGGACACAGAAAAGTCTCGAGATCTTATGACCCCTTGAAAATGTCTAATGACTTGGCATGCTGTTCATCCACGCAGCTGACCTGCTTTGTGGGAAAAATCCAACCCTGTTTATAAATTTTTGCCAAATTGAACTTGAGGTTGTTCCTGCTCTCTCTAGCTCTGCATCCCATCTTGCTGGTGCCGAGTAAAGATGAGCTCGGCTCCACCCCTCTCGGGAGAGGATTCATTTTCCTGTTTAGGAAATGTGATGTCAACCTGAAAGAGCCTGATAAGCAAAGTGGGTGGGCCCACCGGCAGGCCTTGGTGAAATCAATTGACATGGGTGTCTTAGAACAAAATTTGGTTCAGCGTGGCCAAGGACAGGGTGTGTCACTGGAGGCTTTGAGCCCCTGTGGCTGCAGCTGTTTGTTCAGCATTAATGTGTTTATCTTTCTGCTAAACACATTGTTACTGAGTCATCTCTATTAAACAGCTACTCGGTGTGAGGCCCAGCTCTGCAAACCTAACATACAAAGAAAGACAGGCCTTTCATCCTCAGTGCCCTTACGTTCAACACAGCCAAAACAAATGCTGTCCCACATTGCTCATTTTGGTGAGCAAGTACTCTGATTCTCAGAGAGTAATCATATGTTCTTTAATAAGACCACAAACCGTCAAGCAGTACAAGCAAAGGAAGAACTTGAAGTGGTCATTATATTTTTAATACCAATTAACACTGTTGCTGAAAAGTGAAAGGTAAACATCAGCCTCCAAACCAGCAATATTATATGTTAGACTCTTCTGTTATCAGCAATATCAAAGTAATTATATTAATCAAACAAATAATTGCATTAAACTTTTAAGGTTTGGGGTTGGGAAAAACATCATACAGCTTTGAATAGTAGAGAAACTCCTGGAATACTGTTTGGCCTTCCCTAGAAATTGTTCGAGCCATGACACATGTGATAAACCAAGGCATGGCGATGTACTGGGGCACCTCAAGGTGGAGCGCTATGGAGATCATGGTAAGCTAATTTCTCCTGGGTACCTTACTATTGTTATTCAGATACCATGTGTAAATTAGTAGATCATTTGCAAACTTTACTCAGATTCCCTGTGACATTGGAAATCTGAGATCAATTCCATCATTAAAGAGATGAATATTGAGGCCGGAGCTCATCAGTTCACAATACGACAGGGAGAGCTCAGGCCTCTTAAAAGAATCGTGTTTTTTGGTGGCAAGAGGGTAAACTGAACTTTACAGCTAATGAGATAAATGAGTAGAGTATTCCTGTTTAAAAACTATATTAATAGCAATTCTGTTTATAACACATTAAATACAGATCAATTTTATATGTTAGTTTAAATTTTATTTCTTTAGAAACCTAAAAAAAGCAAACTATATTTTTATTATAATAATCCATAATTCATACTTTGATTAATTTGCCCTAGACCTCACTAAGTCCAAATCCTTCCAAGGAATAAGAATGTGGTACATTTAGTATTGCTCTGGGTGAAATCAATAGGCGTAACTTTGCTTGTTATTTGGCATCCTGTGCGTTCCTTGGTTTGTGTTGACTTCACTGAACACTGCACATGCAGATGAATCACAGTGAGGCCTCATTGTTAATCAGTCTAAAATCAGTTGCAATCTTGTTTCTCCCCAGGAAGCCTATTCGGTAGCAAGACAGTTCAATATGATCCCACCTGTCTGTGAACAAGCTGAGTACCATCTTTTCCAGAGAGAGAAGGTGGAGGTCCAGCTTCCAGAGCTCTACCATAAAATAGGTAATCTTCAAAAGTACATCTACTACTTCTAACAAGGGGAATATCAGTGGTTTGGAAAATGAGTTTTAGTAAACTGCTTTCCTAAATGTCCCTAATTAATATAAGGATTATAAGGACGATACATGCTAGAGACTAGCAAAATCCAATGTGCCCGTACTTAGACTATAGGGCATCCGTGATGAAATCTACAGAGTTGTGAGCTGTGACTGGCAGTGTAAAGTGTATACATGGTAAAGGGGAAAACCCGTGGATAAATTCATACAGTACTCACCCAACCATGCAACTCTGAATGGACTGAGTGCCTTTCAAAAACGTCGTGGACATACACATCTGTATCTCTAACTGTCCTGGCACTAAGTTTGATACAGAGAATTCAACAATTACCAAGCCAGACACCATATGTTGGTACAGAAAGAATGCTCTCAGAGAGAAGGGGAAAAATATATACACAATATAAACACAAGAAATTTGGACCTAGGAAAAACATGAATAAGCCACGTTTTTGAGGCTTATACACAAAAGGGTATCTTTTATCTTATATCTCTATATGAAAGTTACCTAGCAAAGTTATATCCAGAGATAACTTTCTTAGAACTGGCAGGAAAAGGCTGCATAAGAAAAAAAGATAAAAATTCAACAAGAACAACTGTTATTACTATCACTTACTGAGTGTTTACTAGGCACTGTGCTTCTACTACGTATCAGCCATCACATTAGGCACTGAACAGACGAGAAGCTCTGAATTTTTGTGCAAGGGAAAGTGTTTATCTCTCCTCCATGAATCTTCTACATCAAAACATCATAGATAAGCCAAACCTTCAGGACTTGCTTTTGCAACTCATTCCAAGAACTGACAGTTCATGTTTAATTGGTTTATAAAAGAATGAAATACAGTTTGCAAATGTAAAAATGTACTGGAGAGAGATATGCTGGTATTAATTCATTTATCTGGCCAGCTTTCCCCTATAACCAACCAAGCTGTGTTCAAACACCCACAGTCCTTTGATCCCAGTTGGTACAATTGATTTTCTATGGTTTTCCCTTCTGTAGGGGTTGGCGCAATGACATGGTCTCCACTTGCCTGTGGAATCATCTCAGGAAAATATGGAAATGGGGTGCCTGAAAGTTCCAGGGCTTCGCTGAAGGTATTCTCAACTTGTAAGAAGAGCCTGGGTATGGGGGAGAAGATTGATTAGAATGGCTCTGCAGTGGCCTGGGGCTTTCCAACTCAGACGCATGGTGGCCCTGGCCAGGCTGGTGGCCCCTGGCAGTCTTCTCCCAACCCTCTGAGGTCTCTGATCCTGGCCAGTCAGCTCCTCACAATCTGCACAGAAAAGTCTCTTCCTCTGGGGGCTGGGGGAAATGTCCATTGACCTGGTTGGACTTGCAGAGTTCAAATCCCTGCATTGTTGCTTATTTTTTTAATTAATTAAGTTTATTGGTACATTTTAGGTGTACATGATGATCACATTCATCAAAGGGAATTTGTACCTGTACATGATATATCTTTGTTTGTTTGTTTGTTTGTTTGTTTGTTTTTCCGGTACCGGGAATCAAACTCACAACCTTGTGCTTTGCCAGGCAGGCACTGTGCTGCTGAGCTAAATCCCCAGCCACTACATGATATATCTTGATTCTTTCTTTCCCGTTCCTCTCTCCTTCCTTCAACCCCTCTCCCCCTCCTTATTTACAGAAGCTTTGTTTGCATTTATTCCTTCTTTTCTCATTTTTTTTCTTTTCCCTTTCTTCCCTTCCCCATCTCTCCACCCTAGTTCCCCTTCCAATTTCAAAATTTCCTGTTTCACAATCTCTGTTATACATTTTGGTCCTTATTTACACTTTTGATTTCTCTCACCAGGGAAACAATGTGGTATTTCTATGTGTGTCTGATTTATTTCACTTAGGAGTATGGCCTCAAGGTGCATCCATTTACCTAGAAATGTTACTTTTTCTTATTCTAAGGAAGGCATTTATTTCATTCCTTGTTTGAAACTGACAAAATTTAAAGTTCCTTTTCTGTGGAAGAGGATTTAATTTTCTTTTTCTTGACAAAACAAAATTTAAGCCATAGAGGCTTACTCCATGTGAGACAAACAGTTGCAGCAAAGTATGCTTTGGGGTTGGTTGACTTTTTTTATTGTGAGTTGGGAGCAGAGGTAAGGAGGGAGGGCCTCCGGAGACCGATGTTTACTAGCAAAATTTCTATCACTGAGGTACCATGGTTGGCATTTGTAGAGACTCATTCTGGCCATTGGCACTTTGTAGTTTAAATTCTACTCTGGAAAATAATGGTATTCAAGATCATAAAAATAAAATTACCTCCATTCAAGACACCTGGATGATTGATTTGTTGGTGAGCATTCCAAACATCTTTCCTTATAAAAATATGTCCATTGTTTTAAAATGTGAGAGAATGTGTAATAAAGTAGAATCTCAAACTGTTCTGTACTGTCAAGGGAAAAAGAATATAGGCATTTAAAAAATTCAGTCAAGCACAGCCCTCCTAAAAGGGCACATACGCAAGACCCAGCTTCAAGGGCCCAGTGGAGGAATAGCTCACATCAAGCCTGAACTACCAATCCTTTATCAGTGGACGGGTGACCACCACGGTCTTCCTGATCAGGACATTCTCAAGATTCCAAGAATTTCTCTTCCCTTCCTGCCTGTAACAGTTCAGCTTTTAGCTTGTTTGTTCTCTAAAATATTGTAAACATTTCCTAAAGCATGTTGACATGGCCTTTTGTGGCTTTGTAGTGTCACAAAACACAGTCATCCTAGAATATTAAGGAAGGTCTTATTCCTCAAGATTGAACAACAAAGCAAGTCCAACTGAGGGAAATCAAAAGCATATTAAGGAAGAACATATAAAAGAAAAGATAAGAAGGTAGTAAAGAAGGAAAGGGTAGAAGGGAAGAATTATGAATTATGAATTCATTAAGAATTATGAATTTAATCCTGGTGTGGTGGTGCATGCCTGTTACCCCAACACTCAAGAGGCTGAGACAGGAAGATCAGTACAACTTTGAGGGTAGCCTGGGCTGCATAGTGAGTTCAAGGGCAGCCTGAGCACTTACTATGTGCCAAGCATCAGTCTAAGTGTTTTCATTCATCTTCCTTTGTCCTCAGAAAGAGAAATGGATATAGATTGGCTTTTAGTCAGTCATAGCTAAGCTAAATTGCTATACAGGTGTTCCTTGTCTTACAGTAGGGTTTAGATCTGACAAACAAATTGTAATTTGAAAATATCTTAAGTCAAAAAATTCATTTAATATACCAAATCTACAAAACACCATAGTTTAGCCTAGCCTGCCTTAATATGCTTAAAACACAATAGCCTACAGTCTGACAAAAATCACTTAACACAAAATCTATTTTATACTAAAGTGTTGGATGTTTCATGCAATTTATTGAATATTGTACTGAGAGTGAAAAACAGAACTTGTGTAAGTGTCCTTTCACACCATCATAAAATAAAAAAATCCTAGATCAAGCCATTGTTAAGTTGAGGACCAGCTGCACAATCTTTCACAGGCTTTCTGAAAAATTCAAAATACTTCTATATATGCTAAGTGTTCTCAGCTTTTTCCAGATGCAGAAACTAAAACACAAATACATACATTAAACAAGACAAATACATTAAATTCAAGACCATAAATTCCTAACAAATAAAGTTGATGTCAGAACCATGTCTCCTGGCTTTTGGTTAATTATCTTTCCCAAAGACATTTTTGCTTCCCTTCAGACCCAACCTTTTTACAAGAAAAAGCTAGTCTATTTTTGGAGTATATGATTATCTAATCTCCATTATTATTTGGGGAAAACTTGCTAACAGTTGAAAACACTTTCATAAATGCAACTGCAAACAGCAAAAGAAGAAGAACGCACATACAAGATGTTTGAAGGTGATATTATGGTTCATATCTAGATGGCCTTCTAAAGCCTCATATAATCATAGGTGGGACCTTTGGAATCATAGGTGGACCTTTTGCTATACAGGTGTTCCTTGTCTTACAGTGGGGTTTAGATCTGACAAACAAATTGTAGCTGACTTGCAGTTAGGACGTAGGGCTTGGTTGGAAGAGATGAGTCACTGTGAGCGTGGCCAGGAAGGTTATAGCTCCCCGCATTCACTCTCTCTGCTTCTTGTCTGCCATGCCATGAGAAGCTCCTCTACTATGCACCTCTCCTATGCTGTCGTGCCTTGAAGCCAACCAACCATAGACGGTAACTGTGAGCCACAATAAACCCGTCCTCTTCAGGTTGTGGGTGTGAGGTGTTTTGTTCAAATAATAAAGAAAGTGCCTAAGACAGATTTTGGTACCAGAGAATTGGGATCATTGTTAAGACACTGTGTGATTCAGAAAGTGTGGTTCAGAAAGCTTTGGAACTGACTTGTAGGAAGAGTTTGGAAAGGTTTGAAAATGCCAACTGGAGAAATTGTGGATTTATTGTAAACAGCTTGATAGTAGATTCTAGTCAGAGCTCAGAAAGACAGAATGCTGATAAGAAAGCAGATGGTAAAGACCAGACTCAAGAGGTTTCAGTTGGGGAAAAGGACTCCATTGGCACTTGCAGTCCAGACCATGTATGTTGTGCTGTGGCAGAAAATTTGTCTACATCTTGCTCAAGTCCTGAGACTTTGCAGGAGACTGAGATGATTTTCAGGGGACTAAGTAATCTGGCACACAAAATTTCAAGGCAGCCTAACATTGAGGCTATAGCACGGGTACTGTTGAGAGTTTTTTGCCAGTGCTACATTAAGAATCAAGAGCAAATGGCACAGCTGAGTGACTTAAAATTTTTTAAGATTGCCCAGAAAGGAAGCCCAAATAAAGCTGGGACCTGCAAAATTGGAGCATAAGAGAGCTTGGTTGCTGAAAAGATTAGCATTAAATAGAAGCCAAATACTTTCTATCTGGACACTAGAAAGAATGCCTCAGGGGCCTGGGAAGAATGGTCTTTCATAGACTTAGGCGTGGAAAAGTGAAAGGCTGCTTTGAGACAAGACCCCCAAGGCAGCCAGCTGGAGGCCACCTAGGAAACTGGCCTCCTGGGATTCCATTCACAATGCTCAGTTGAGGGACTTATCAGAGAGGTCAAGTGCCCAGAGGTCCCTGCAACCATGTAGCAAAAGGGTCTGGCTATTGCTGGAGCCAGGGGCAGAAATTGGCAGCATCCACTTGATGCTATTGTTACAGTTGTGCAGAATGCAAGAATTGTGGGATCGTGGAGGCTTCCACCCAGACATTAGGAGACAGTCTTGAAGGCTAGGCAGTGTGTCTATGAAAGGGTAATGCATGAAGCTGTGAGAGTGAAACCAAAGTGCACTGGGAACCCCAGGAGTTTAGAGAAGTCACCTGAGGGAATGAGCAAAGCCAGCGTAAGAGAAAAGCCACGAAAGCAGCAACCACTAGCAATGCCTTGGGCTGGGACTCCCCAAGCCTTTTGGAGTTCAGATCCCTCAAAACTTGCCCCAGGTACTGGACACAGAGCTACCAGATTTAGAGTTTGCTCTCTAGGTTTTGGTCTTGCTTTGGTCCTATAGGTTTCTATCCTCCTCTTTCTCTATTTTAGAATGGGAATGTTTATCCTGTGCCATTGTATGTTGGCAGTGTTTAACTTTTTTTTTTTTTTTTTTTTTTTACAGAGGCTTACACCCAAGTGTAAGCCTTCAGTCTCAGTGGAGACCTTAGTTTTGGCCATTTCAACAGTGTCCAAATTATTAAAACTTTGGTCACTCTTAAAGATGTGTCATATGCATTTTGCATAATATGTATTAGGCTGGGGGCAGGGCAGAATGTTATGGTTTATATCTAGGTGTCTGCCTGAAGCTTCATGTGACTGTAAGCAGGAGCTTTGGGAGGTGACTAGATCATGGGGGTGCTGTAGCTAGCTTCCTGTTAGGAGGTAGGGTTTCATGTGAACAGATGGGTCCCTATGGGTGTGACCAGGAAGATTATATTACCCTTTTCAGCTCCTCCCTTCACTTCTCTCTGCTTCCTCTCTGCCAAGCCATGAGCAGCTTCTTCTCTGCTGCGCCCTTATTTAGATCTTCATCATTTCTCACCAGGTTTACTGCAAGAGTATCTTCCTAGACACTAACAGTCACATTCACCAAACCTAGCAGCCACATTTACTGTATTTTTTATCACATCTCCTAAAGACACTCATGAAGAGGACTTCTAAAATTGCTTCAGAAAGTAGCAAGAATAAGATAAATGTGTTGAAAGTGAGAAGTAGTATTTTGAGGGAGATTCACAGCAATATGTCTAAGGTAATAATTTTGTACATTCACTGTATATTTTGATCATGCCTTGTGCTCTCTGCCTAAATTCCAATCAAGAATTAACTAACAGCTATGAGAGACTTTGGAAAAAGTCTCACAGACTAGGACCATCCTGACATTGTTACCTATAAGATGGGACACCTAGATAATGGTTACAGTGTTTGGGAGAGGGCAAACAAATAGCTTTAGGAAATGTAGAGAATATTGTGACTTACATACGAAAGAATAGCCCACTAATATGAAGGGGGAAATGCTCGTTTAATTGATTCTTTGACAAGCACCTACTCATGATCTACTTGGCGCTAGACTCTATGCTAGGTGCTGAGGACGACAGGGATGAATGGGACAGGCTCATCCCTCAAGGAATAGTTGAGAGACTTATCAGAGAGACAGACATGTACAAGCTGAGTTATTAAACAGCATGAAGTTCACCAGCACCATAGACCCCAGTGGGTTAGCTCGGAAAGTCGCACTGTACTGAGGAGGGGTGTCCATGCTGTGTCTGAAAAACTGAAGAGATTTATCTTTACCATAGTGTCCCCCAGTTACTGAGACTCTTCCCCACGGAGCCCCTCTGCACCAGCCACAGGGTCAGGGCTCAAGATCACTTCCATATTTAATTGTTTAAGGCTCATCTTCTCCATCTGCTAGCATTTTCCCAGTTTTAAACTGCTTACTTCCAAAACATTGGAAATGTTCCTCTTGGTATGAGGCAAGCAGTATAAACACTATGCATCCACTTTTTTTTTTAAAGCCTCAACTCTTTATATTGCACTGATTAAAGCAACAGTGAGATTTATTATATTGAGGATGGGGAGAGAATGATTCAATAAATAAAAATGAATGTTTGATATCTGTTACTTTTGGATATCTGTCTTTCAATAGAGTATGTGTATTTGTGACACATAAACATATACTCATGCATACACACACATATATACTTATACACACACACATATATATATCATACCCAAAACCTAAGAAAAGAATATATTGCATATATGATTTGAAAAATGGAAGAGTTCAGAGCTCAGTGAGATTAATAAATCAGCTATTCTTTCTGTGTTGCTTTCTAACTTGTTTGGAGACAGAGTCTCAGTATGCAGTTCAGGTTGGCCTCAAGCTTGTAGCGATCCTCCTACCTCAGCCTCCTGAGTCCTGGGATTGTAGGTGTTTGCCACCATGCCATTCTTAGAATATATACCATTCAGTGTGGTATATATTGAAACCTCAGAAACTGTCCTTGTTGTAATAAAAAGCAATTATTCAAGAGCATTTTTCATTAGCTTTCAATTTTTTTGTTTGACTAGCATTCAAAGATATCAGCCCCCTGAAAGATGTTATGAAACTTAAGTGAGAACTGATGTTTTTCCCATGGAGGAGAGCAAAGCAAGTTCGGGACTCTCTGATGTAGGCAGTGCCCTGGCCCAGAAAGGCTGCCCGGGTCCCAGTCGTAACCATCCGCCCCATCAGCACTGGCACCAGCTGTCATCTCCAGAGAGACGTGCCAGACCACCCTTCCTCTGGAATAAGTCAGAGCTTCACAGATCTTAGGCTGGAAAAACACTTGGCTGTTTCCCCAAGCAGACTCCCGAGTGAGGAGCCAGGCCATCAGCCTTTGAGATCTAGGAGGCAGACAGCAGGGGAGGCTTGCCCTTTGCTTTCTCACATCTGCAAAATAATTCCAAAAATCACAATAAAAAATAATGTGGTTACCCTTTTCTTTGGAAATTCTCTCTTTGAATAATGAAAACTTCTTAAAAAACAAAAGCCAGCGGCTGACTGAAATCACGTGGGTGGGGGCCTATGGCCCACTGCCCACGGCAGAGCTGCCTGCTGCCTCTGGGAAGGTAAAGGTCCGGGTGGCAGTTATGTCGCCGCACAAGCAACAGAGAAAGTCCACGCTGCCACACAGAGTTTAGTGTTTTTATTTTCCCCAAACCAGACTAACTTTCTTACAAGTATCTTTCCCTTTGGGTGTTGCTGCTTGATGCTAGTGTTGTGCAGAAGAGACTATTATTTCCTTCTTCATAGTAAGCACAAAGCTTTCTGGAAAGTAGGGCATTGAGAGGACTGCACAGTTTTTCTCCTTCTGTTTAGGAAATTAGATTCACTTTATATTCTACAGATCAGGGTCAGTCTCGTCTCATACGTTTAAAGAATGGTTTCCCTTGCTGAATTGCTTAAAGTTCCATAGTTACACAATAGGTAGTACATGTTTGGAAAATTCTTTATTCAGTTTAATTTTTAAAAATGTACTTGATATTTAACAGTTATACTATGTCTACTTCTAGAAAGAAATTGAGGAAGCCAACAATAAGTCCTCATTATAAGAAGAATATGAGATTAGGTGTGAATTGAAGACAAGAGAGAAAATACATTATCTTACATTCTTATAACAAGAATGTAAGATAATTCTTATAACAAGAATGTAAGATAATGGCCTACTTGGAGCAGAAAGCTTGGCACCTAGATTTCTTAACAAAAAGGAAACATAATAGATGTCGGTAAAATGACAGTTCCCTCTCTCTCTATCTCTCCCTCCCTCCCTCATTCCGTCTCTCCTCTAACACCAGGCTATTCCAGTAAGAAACACTGTAATTTCTCCACTTGACCGATTAGGGTGTAACTGTCTGTATGTCAGGGTTTTAAGGACTTTTGTGCCTATTGATCAATTTCAATGGCGAATATCAGCCAGAAGCAATCTGTTTTGAACAAATAAACAAGGAGCAAAGGTACACGAACATTTCTTTGCATAAAGATATGTTTCCTTCTCACTACAAAAGGTAAGAGTCAGAATCAAGGAGACTCAGGACTTCACTCTGAAGTTCCTATATTTATTGGATTAACAGTCTTGGACATCCCATCCGTGCCACATGTTAACATTCCACTGTTATATTATTCTTACCTGCAGTGCTACCAGTGGCTGAAGGAAAGGATTGTAAGCGAGGAAGGAAGAAAACAGCAGAACAAGCTCAAAGACCTGTCTCCCATCGCGGAGCGCCTCGGCTGCACACTACCTCAGCTGGCCGTTGGTAAGGACGTCCCCGGGGTGGCAGAGGCAGGACACGCCTTTGCAGAGACCACAAAATACGCAGTTTTCTATTATTAGTCCACATATCTAACCAGACAAAATGTCTATCTATTGTGAGGACAGACTGATCTCAAAAACACACACCCTGGTAAATGCAGCACAAAGTGAGTTATTCAAGGGTCTCCACCATTTTCTATATATGCCAGAACAAGTTCCTTACTTCTTTCCCCTCTTCCCCTTAACGCAGTTTAAATAAGAACACGTCCATGAAAACACACGCTTTCTCACAAACACCAGAGGCGAACTGTGTAGTGACACCCATTTCCTCTGGCTCTGGTTCCCAACCCTGTCAAAGCTAAGCCAGGCCTGACGTCAGGCTGTGACAAAGGCCCCTGCTACTGCCAGGGGAAGTTGATCCTGGAGAAGCTTTGCTTGGAGACAACTTAGTGCCATGGAAGTTGCTCTTCTTGTACTGTGGCATCCATGAAAATCATGGTCCCTGGTAACTCGAAACCACACACACTGGGGCCGTCCCGTAGACAGATGACATGAACCACACACTGAATTTCAAACTTCCGTGTGGCTGCATTAAAGAAGTAAAAAGGAAACAGGTGAAATTAACTTTAATAAAGGCCTTTATTTAACACAGTGTTCCCCAAATATTATTTCACAATGTAATAGATATAAGACAAATTATTGAGATAGTTTATATCCTTTGTCACACTGTCTATCATCTAGGGTGTATTTTACACCTACGGCACACTGTGGTCAGACACTGTGGGCATGTGTGCCGGTGGCTGCACATGGGACAGAAAAGCGTTTACTTTCAGTCCCCTCGCTGGGGCGTATTTGCCAGGCTGGGTGATAACCACTTCATACTCACTGTCTTGTCTCCGTAGTCACCAAAACAATCCCGTTAGCTGTAGACTGTTAGTAGATCTGTCCTATTGATATCAATGGAAGATTTGCTGGAATTCACATGGCAACCTAGAAAGGAATAAGCCAGGCATAATAGCGCATGCTTAAGGAGGCAGAGGCAAGAGGATCACCACAAGTCCAAGGCTAGCCTGGGCTACAAAAGGAGCTCAAGGCCAGCCTGAACTACATAGTGAGACTCTATCTCACAAAACCAAAAAACAAAAACAAAAAAAGGAATAAAACGGGTGTCAATTCCAGGAGAAAAAAATCATATAGACTAAAAAAATACCAGGAGTGGGGGCAAATTAGATATAATGACACAATGAGATAAAAAAATTCATAGGTCTATGCCAATAAAATAATTTAACAGAATATTTGTTGGTAGCTTGACCTTTCTGAGGCTCAAAGTCAGAAAAATATTAGTTGCAGTTAACACCATAAACAAATGGAAATAAAAAAGCTTTACAGGGAAGAAATATAAGGTATCAAGATCTACTATGACTATTGCTCTCTTTCTTAAAAAAAAAAAACAAAGAACATATTTAGTGCAATTAGTCAGCATCCCTACAGCTTTTAACGTAGCAAAGAAAAAAAGTAGCTATGTGACCAAAGCAAGTTTATTTACTATAAATTTTCTTGTGTGGAAAATGAACATTAAAATGCATATCTTACAAACTTGTTAAGTAAGGAGAAATTATACATGCAAAGCAGAGTAGGTATTCAGCAAGGGGCAGTGATGATGATGACAATGATGATATTTTGGCAAAGAATTAGACATCCCGGAAGTTCACTCCTGGCTGTTTGTGTGGTCAGAATAATATCTGCAAAAAGAAACACAAACTTTGCATGTTCATAAATTTGATTTTAGGTGGTACCATGAATCGGCACAGTTGACCCTCCATATGCATGGATTTAATCAACCATTTATCTTGTTCCAGGGGTTATAAATAATCTAGAGATGATCTGAAGTATACAGCAGGGTGTGCATGCATGTGCCCTGCTATGAGTGTCCTTGAATTTCGGTATCCTTGGCAAGCCCTGAGCCAGTCTCCCAACATACAAGGAACAAGACGTAGCACATCATCTTTCTAAAGAGAAATCTTTACAGAATTTAGATTTTCACTGGATAGTAGATATACATGAAACAACCTCCACATAAAGTGTGAATTTAAGTTAAAATATATTTTTTTCTCCTTCTCCTCCCTCTACGCCCAGATGTCTTCCCTGCCTGTCATTTTTGTTCTTTCTTTATAAACAAGTAGTTTTGTTTTTAACCGCAGAACTCTCAAAACCGAAAGGATTTCCACTATATTACCTTTCATCTATAAGGTGGGTGTGGGGGAAAGGAGAGCTTTGGTCAGGAAACAAACCACTTCAGCCCAGCTGTGCTGGCTCCCCAGGTAACACACCTGCTCAGGAGCCAGCATCACCCCTCGCTGGTAGTAAACAGGTGCTGAATATGCTGGCTGGTGACACTCAGAGACGCTAAGCATCCAACCTCAGCTGCAGGTGCTACCCAGGGAGTAGGTCTGCACCCAGAAGTTCTCCTGTGCCCCACAGCCATCTGGGGAAATCAGCTGCTACCGACTTCAAAGTTGTTTATGGGCAGTAAGTCGCCCGGAGCTCTGTGTTACACTCGGAACTCTCACTAAGGCCAAGAAGAATTCTGAGTACAAAGCAAGAAATGATCAGCCCTCCCCCAAGAAAAAAGGAGAGAGGAAAAAAGAAAAGGAAAAGACAGAAGGAGAATAAAACAGCTGGAATCTCACTGGGCATGGCGACACATGCCTGTGATCCCAGCACTTGTGAGGCTGAAGCAAGAGGACTGCAGCAAGTGCAAGGTCAGCCTGGGCTACATAGTGAAACCCAGGGAAAAAGAAAAGAAAAGAGAAAAAAATCCCCGGATGTCCTATATTGGTGCCTTTACAAAGCACAATTTACCCCATGGAAAGACCTCGGGATGGCTCTAAGGTCTTTTACAGCCATGCACAGTAACAGTTAAGAGTGTCACTTGCCAGCAGCCTTCAGCACACGGGGACAGAAGAGACGCCAGCAGCACACATCCGTCACCTACGCCTATGCTTACAAACATTAGTAAGTGCCTCCTAGGTGCCAGGTACTGAGCTGGTTTCTAAGATCCCACCGCAAATTAGCCACACCTCACAGCCTAACGGAAACAAACAGATAATGTAACTGAAAGGTAAAAATGGTTCTGTAACAATTGTGTGTGTGTGTGTGTATTTTTTTTTTTTAAGATAAGCTACTCCTCCAGCTTCCTCATGCTGAGAGCAGAAACCACCACCCCACCCCACCGCACCACAGCTGGTGCCAAGGAGGCTGCAACATTTCAACATTTCCTGGGCCCCTGGGTGGGCCAAAGCCAGGCTGAATCTACATATGTTTATTTCCTGGCTTTTGTACCTAGTCTAGAAACCAGAGTACTTCTGCAGGCTCCAGCTGCTATCTCATTTTGGCCAAATGGAATAAACTCACTTCTCCATTTCTATGGCACAGATAGCAAACGTACCTGGCCAACATACCCCAACAAGGGGCCTGACAGGGATGAGCTACTCTCACACTCCTGAAGAGAACAGTGAATAAGTCCAGACAGTCAGGGCCTGCTTCAGGCCTCTGACAGAGCCCCTGCCAGTGCTCCAGTATTGAGAACGGAAGAGGGGTTAGAGAATACCGAGTAGGGGCACCCGGCCCAGCATGGGGTTCTGAAGCGACACCCTGGGCATCTCGAAAGATGAGTAGACATCTGTGAGGAAAGGAAGGAGCAAAGCAGTCCAGGAGGAGGAAAAGCAGCCGGCTACTTGGGGATGGAGAGGACATGCTCCTAAAGCACAAACATCAAGGCAGGGAGATGGGATGCTGGAGAGGCAGATTAAAAGGTAACACTTGCTAGGGCAAGAATAAGAGTTTTGTTTTATAGGATTTTTGTCATGTACAAGTTAAAGAGCTTTTAGCCCGGGCAGTGGCACCATTAGGTTTATATTTAGAGAAACTGCAGTGGATGTGAAGAAGCTATGTGTGGGAGGGGCACTTGAAAGAGGTAGAAAAAAAGCCAGTTTGCAAGGAGAGGGCAGGTGAGCACCTGAATGAAGGCGGTGGTGGCAGGGCTGGAGAACACAGCTGAGCCACCAAAAAGGTAGACCCCGTGCACCCCACACAGTGAACTACTACGCAGCAATGAAAAAGGAAAACACTTACACACACAACCACATAAAGAAACTATGTGTGCTAAGTGAAAAAGCCAAATACAAAAGACCACACGGTACTCGATTCCATTCATAGGAAATGTCCAGAAGAGACAAATTTACAAGCAATAAGTAGATTACCAGTTACCTAGGTCTGGAGAAAGAATAGGGATTAACTACTAACGTGCAAGAGAGTTCTTACTGGAGTGATACAAATGTTCTAAAACTGGATTAAAAATGGTAGGAGCTGCAGCCAGGCACGGTGACACATACTGGTAATTCTAGCACTCTGGGAGGCTAAGGCAGGAGGATTACAAGTATCCAGCCCAACTTAAACAACTTAGTGACTTAGCAGGATTCTGTCTCAGAATGAAAAGAGCTGGGGCTTCAGCTCAGTGCAAAGGCCCTGGGTTCAGCTCCAGGTTAGAAAAATAAAATGGTGATGACTGTACACTAAAAATAGTGACGGGTGGTACATTTACCAGGAAGAATTTAAGGTGCCTTTAAAGTACTTTTTTTTGAGGGGAGGGGGAGTCCATACATTGTAACAATAGTTTTTTTCTTTAAAACATGGAGGGGGAAGAGAAAAACAGACCGAGTTCCCCAGAGCAGGAGAGGGGGTGAAGGGTGACCATTAAGGGCCAGGGAGGGAGTAATGCGCATGCTCAGCCCAGGAGGTGGTAGGTGGAAATGAAGGAGCAGACAGCAAGTCTGCAGGACTTTGAAACAACAGATGAGGAAAACAAGACCAGGAAAGAAAGGAAGAGCAGGCGAAGGCTATGCTCCTGTGCTGGGCAGCTGGACCAAATGCCCCATAGCTGGGCAAAGCCCCTCTTAGAAAGCACAAGACCCCTAGCCCAACTCAAATGCCCAGGTTCTATCAGTCTCCTGCGCAGCAGGGGGCGCTGCTCAGGTTTTCAATCCTAGGGAGCATTTTCCACAGAAAAGTTAATAAATTTTGACTGCAACAAACATAGCAGGACCTGGTGTTCACAAGCTAAGCAATAACCATGGGCGCTCTGACACGCCGGCCTTATGTTCTCTCTTCCCAGCGTGGTGCCTGAGAAATGAAGGCGTGAGCTCCGTGCTCCTGGGCTCATCCACTCCTGAGCAACTCATTGAAAACCTCGGTGCCATTCAGGCAAGTATCGCAGCCCTGTCCTGCAAACGCCTGGGAATGCCGTGGTGCCTTTTCAGATGTCTCCTCCTCTGTCCAGAGTGGGGGAACAAAGGTGTAAGCAGCAACAGAAAGCTTTCAACAAATCCAGGGTTGTCGCCGGTATTATTAACAGGCAGTGTTCCCAAAGCTGATTTCTCAGGCCGGCTCATCTCTGTAGGACAGTGCGTTCCGGCACTACTCCTAGCAACTGACTGCCCAGGCCTGCCCATAAAAACCTTCTTACTCACCTACTCGAAATCTAATGGAAATAGGACAGTACACACATACCACTCAGCCCTCACAGACGCTGCCAAGCTCCGCTGCACCACGTCCCTCCTCAGTCTCCATCTCCTGGCATCCTGCTCTTTTCCCTTCCCAGCACAGCACGCAGGACAGTGAATGCGTAACTGCCTGTCTCCGCGGCAGGCCTTGCTTCTCCACTCACCTTCTAGCTCCTAGCACACCACGTGGCCCTTACTCATCACTCAGGAAATAACTGTTGCATTAATATTTGCCTTGTTTGAGGAGAAATGGACTCAAAAATTCTATTTGGACTTCCACGATCCTATCTCCCCCGAAGCAATTTCAGGAGGCCCATCCCACTCGCCTCCCCTACCGTCAGGGACGGCTTGTGGTCCGGGCTTTAGATGGAACCCGCAGCAGTCAGTACTGCGGGGAGCGGGCGGAGCCGGCGGTGCTCCTGGGTGTTCCAGCTAAGGAGAGTGGTGATTGGCGGCTGCTGTGACCTGCCCCTCCCCCAAGGGCCACAGCTCAGTCCCGGCCTGCCCTACCGAAGGCCCTAGGAATAGCCAGAGTCACTACTGCTGCAACAGGCAGAGATGGGTGTGTTTCCTTCTTACCCACAGAGAAACAGAGCTGTCTCCGTTTCTCCCCATCCAGCTGACCCTGAAACAAGCAGAGCTGTCAGCTCTCCCAAAAGGAGAAAGAGATTAAACAGAGGTAGGCACAAACTGAGAGTAGAAAAGCCCTTTTAAATAACAGCCCCGCCTGTGTGGGGGTAAATGGTGGAGGCTGCCCGTCCCCAGCACCTTTCCTAGGAGTCCAGAGCAGGGTAAAGCACCACCGCCTCTCTGCTTCCAAGAACTCTGTCCAGCCCCGCGGTTCTTCCTGGATTCTGTGGGCCCTGCTTCTTCACGGAGAAGGCTCCCTCCTATGAGCTGCCCCACACAGCTGCCCCACACAGTGGGGACAGGAGATAAAATTCAGTCTAGTGATTTTGATTCCACTAATATTCTTAGCACACTCATCCTGTCTGGCACCAAGAGCTAGGGAGTGGGAGTTCTGCAATGAGTAGGAACAAGATCCTGCTCTCAACGAGCTGGCTGAGAAAGTCAATTAAGAAATCTATCCTCATTCAACCGGTCAGCACTGGCGATACCAGAGGACAAAAGAAAGATAAAGTCCAACCTCCAAGGGGCTTCTATTCCCGAGACAGATAAAAATAAACCCACAGGGGCTGGGGATTTAGCTCAGCAGCAAAAGCGCCTGCCTGGCAAGCGCAAGGTCATGAGTTCGATTCCCGATACCAGAGAAAAACCAAAAAAAAAAAAAAAAACCCACAGAATTATTCCAGGTTGTGAAAAGAGCTACTCAGGAAATAAACAGGCTGTTGTAATACACTAACGGAAAAATGGGGGGCTCTATTAATGTCTCTGCAAAAGGCCCCCCTAAGATGTTTATTGCAAGGCCCCCATCTATTCACATCCTTCTCACAGCGTCTGAGGAGCCCAGGAGTGTACTCCAGGCGCAGGGAGGAACGCTGCAGACTGAGTCAGGGAGGAGCTCGGCTTTCCCGACCCTGGGGCTCCAGCCAAGGCTCAAGCAAAGGAGACGGGAGCAGGGGATGCCCTGACATGCAGAGCAGGAGCAGCTCCCCCAGGACAGCACGGCAGCAGTTCACCCTTCACGTGTGGAATTCCTCCGTGGGTTGGAGAGCAGGGACGTGCTTCCACTGCATAAAGATGGCTCCACCTGCCGTGCGGAAAGCAAAACTGAAAGGCAGGGGCAGCAGGCGAGGACACGGAGGTGCAGCGAGGAAGTCAGTCTCCCGGGTTTGGGAGGGAGGAATGCGGGGTGCCCATGACGCTAACTCAGGGCAAGCGCGCCATCCCAGGGGAGGTCATGCGGCCAGGGAGAGGCAGGGAAGGCAACTGTGAGTCACTTTTCTTCCCAAAGCACTTCCTCCCAGCCAAGCTCCGGCCCGCAAAGGATGGAGGAGGCATCCACGCTCACAGGGAAAGAGAACAGGGACGTCACCCCGCAGCACGGCTGCCGCCACGGGGTTACCGGCGCTCTCCCTTCCTGCCCCGCTGCGGAAGAAGGGAGAGTGTGGGGCGCCCACCCTTGTAAGGAATTCAGCTGCTCCAAAGGATAGAATGTGCCTGAGGCACACAAAAGCTGGAGGGTGGACACAAATCAGATGCTCCGCAGGTGGGAGAGACAGGACAGAGGCCACAGCTGCAGGCAGCCCGGCTGTACAGGTCCTCATCTTTCCTACCTCTACCTAAAATTAGCAAACAGAACTGCCTCACATGGCCACGTCCAGGGCCTCCCTCAAAGTCTCTGAGGCTCCCCATCACCTACCCAGAGAAATCCAGGCTCCTTAGCAGCCAGGCCCTTCATACTGAAGCCTATTGCCCCGAATGCCCGCAGCACACATGCCTGTGTACACACACACACCTCCCCAGAATCCTAACCTCCAGCCAGCAGCAGACACTCAGATCCCCAGATGTAAGGAATGGTCCCTCCTCTGCCTCCCAAGGGGCCAGTCCCGCCACCGCCACAGTACAGCTCAGCAGTGACTCCATTCAGGGAGGCCTTCCCTGCTGCCGCATCAGCCCAGGCACCGCTGGGCAGACGCTCCCCCACTCTACCAATTCTTCCGGCCAGGCTGCAGAACTGATGGTGGAGGTGGCGAGGGTATGGACACTAAGGAGCTTAAAATGTAAAATAGCTGCCAACGTTTTTAAACACGGGGTGATTTTAGATAAAATTCTGAAACTATGGCTCCTCTTCACTTTGTTCTTACTATATATTTTCCATGTTTTACGCAAGTATTTCTATGAGTTTTTAGAAATCTATCTTAAATGTAGCTTGATATAATGAACCTTTTTCTCTTGACATAACTAGACCATTTTCGACACAAAACTTCCACCAAATCGAGTTTCCAAATTTCAGTCTCATTTTTACAATCTCACTCTTAAATAACACATTGGCTGTTTAGACCCTCTGCGATTCAGAGCTAGCAGGAAATCAAACTCCTCCTCCTTTAGCTTCAATAGCAAAGTTTCCGCCAGAACCAAAAGTTGCCCAGGCTGAGAAGCTCCACGATTCTGCCAAATCCAAGCTTTCTGAGAACTGCGCTTGAGTGGAGACAAGGTCACCTCGCCAGGACTGCGGCAAGGAAGGGTGAGGCCGAAACCTCAGAACTGGTCATCGTAACTGCATTTCCCCACCGTCGCCACACAGGGTCAGACTTTTCCAGCAAGAAAGTCAGCCTTTGCGCCGGCTCCAGAGTGCAGTGTGTGTCCTTGGCCCACTCACTACAGTGCTGGCCCTCGAGCCTTGTCCCTTCCCGAGCTCCAGTGCGCACGTCCACGCAAGGGGCTCGCAAGGCCTCAACTCCAGTCCTCCTGCAGCTAAGTCCCAAAGCTGCACCTCTAGCTGCCTACAAGTTATTTTACAAGATCGGCAGATGCTACCACCACCTTCTTTGCCCCAAGTAACTGCTCCTTTGTTTTCCAGTCTCAACAAATGGTATCAACACCCTAGTCGGTCTCCAACCGCCCCTCTCCGTGTCTCTCAGACCTCTTCTCTCCCACTCCACCATCCTTAAGCCCGTCTCCAGCTGTATTGCAATGCTTCTAACACGTCCCCTCCCAGCCTCCTCAATGCATCCTTCAAACTACCTCCAGGTTGAAGGACTCACTTCTGATTCAAAGCCCTGCAGGTTCCCCACTGCCTGCAGCATGAAGGTGCAGCTCCATAACATGGCATCCAAAGCACGCCATCCAAAGCTAGCCACTCTCCGTGAACTTCTTTCCTCCACTCCTACTCCTCCCACACCTCCGCCTCAGGTCTGTCCTCGTTAGCATGTTTATCTGTGATGTCAGCTACCCTGGTCATCCTTCACCAGGGTTCCAAACACCAGTTAGGAGGAGTCCAACCTCGATCTCTAGACCAGTACTGTCTATGACCGCAGCTTCCAGCCATGTGGCCACTGAGGTCATGAAAGATGGCTAGTCCAAAGGCAGATACACTGTAAGTTTAAAATGTTCAGTGAGCCGGGTGTGGTGGCGCATGCCTGTAATTCCAGCACTCTGGATGCCGAGGCAGGAGGATCACCATGAGTTCCAGGCCAGCCTGGGCTACAAAGTGAGTTCAAGGCCAGCTTGAACTGCATAGCAAGACCCTGACTCAAAAAGACCTAAATAAATAAATAAAATATTCACTGAAATATATAGGGGTTAGTAACAACCAAAAAAGTATTTTAATATTCCGTATCGATTCCACATTTGAAATGATTCTTTGGCTATAATGAAGTAAAAATGCACTAATTTTACCTTTTGCTTTTATAAGGCAGCCACTAGAAAATTTTAAATTACTTGTGGTTTAAATTGTATTTCTACTGGATACAGCCGTTCTGTATTTCTACAAGCTTTCTCTGATGACTTCACTTATTCAGTCAACAAGTAAGATCCTTGACCTCGAGAAGCTTAGTCTCATGGGGAGTTTATATTCCAGCTCTGGTTTATGAATAGATGTCTTTGCTCCACACCGAGCACAAGAAAACACATGCTAACCACATTCTTCTCCCCCGTGCTCAGGTTCTCCCAAAGATGACATCCCACGTGGTAAACGAGATTGATAACATCCTACGCAACAAGCCCTACAGCAAAAAGGACTATAGATCCTAAGGCAGTGCATGAGCCCCGGAAGCTGCATGGGTAAAATAGCAGTCTGCACCCAGTCCAACCGGTGTTACTAGCCACACTTTTCACTTAGCAGCCTGCTGCTCGACCTCTAGTGTCCCTGGATTCTCTGGTGTCTGCTCTTGCTACCACTGTGCACCTGAGTTCTAAGCACATCTGAAAACTCACACTGGAAATCCGTTCTATTTTCTTACCTTAGACTGGCGTCCCCTATCCCTGCATTGCTCTGTACACCTCATGCTTATGCAATGGGAAAGAATATTGGGGGAAAGATGCATTACTTTCAGGTATTTGTTACCGTAAAGAAGGCTGTACAGATATATTTTTTCAAAAAGAACAAAACCCACAGATGCAACATAAATGGCTAAGAGACAGAGGAGGATACCCTCCTTCAGAAGTCTTGCTTGGGAGAATAAGCCGTAACGATTTTACATTTTCTTATTTCATATTCATATTAGCAAGTTTTATTTCACTTGTCACTCAACGAAAGTTTCTAAGAAAATGCTTTCATTGCCTTTTAAGAATTTACTGATGCTTGGTCCCGTTCGCGGTATTCAGAGTATCTTTTCAGATTCTAATAATGTTACGCTCATTTACATGTAGAGGTGAGGAGTGAGTGCTCTTCAGCTAGACACTGGATAATATGCGACAGCGACGGTTACACTGACATGGAAACTTAAGCTCTGAATAAACTGTATATACAACTGAGTGTTTTTTTCCACATTTTACTAAAACCTGCTTTACACTTTCAAGTTGTAAACATAACTTGTGCAAGTTTAAATATTTGAGCTTTAAAAACACACATGTTCAGTTTTGTAAGTAAACCTGTAAAATACCCAGAATGGCAAATGTTCACTATTTAACTACAACTGGGACTTTTGAATATAATGTTTGGTGTATCTGACGAGTATTAACATAAAAATCATAGGCTTTGTGAAAAACATGCCACTACTCAGAATATGCTGAGTATATTAACTTTCCCAGTGAAAAGCAAAATGTCCAAGAAGCTCCTGATTCTAATCATATCGTATGTCCCACACTACGCGCATGAGAGCTCTGAGCATGGATTAAAGAGGTTTAGCCTTGCTGCGCTCAGAATCTGAGTATATCTAGCCCTTCCATTTTTGGCTACTGAACTTCATTCATACCCCACTTGAGAAAAACTGGGAGAATATACTTCGTGTGGATATTTGTTAAAGAAAACATGTCTTACTTCTTTCAGGGTTAAGAGTAGTTCTTTAATTCTATTTGGACATCTGAGGATATGCAAAAGTCTAATTTAATTATCTGGTCAGCAAGTTCCCTATAGAGAAATCACTTGAAATATTTACAGACGAAATATGTCATCTTAAAGTGCTATCTTATCATCACTTCCACATAATTACTTCATGGTTAAATTGCAAATCGTAAAATGTTAGATACCAATAAATATTTTTTGACCATTATTTGTAGTGTGATAGGGAGTTTGGATTTGTGCCTGGGATTATCAGATTAGTGACGGAAATGGGTTCTTTTTTCAGTTGTTCATTGTGTATTCAATCCAGTGAACTACTGTATGCATAAATGACCTAAGGCGCTACCTTCATGGGAAATGCAATTTAACTTATTTGCTTAGAGTAATAAAAGCATTGTGTGCAATCTCACAATAGTTATCTGCTCTTTCATTATAAGGCATAAGCTATGTGTATATTCTTACATGCAAAATAGGCAATAATCCCCAAAACATACCGACAACTAAGATGCACCGAGTACTCAACAAAAAGCAGCGATCAAAGCTGAGACTTAAAGTGCAATCCAAACACCGTTCTCTCTTACTAATGGAGAATATGATTACCTACTTTTCCTCTGGATTTAAGAACACTCTGCCCTAAGGTTAAGGATTCTCAAGCCCACTTAAAAAAAAAAAAAAAAAAAAAAAATTGCAATCAAAATCAAGTACAAAACTATTTAGTTTTGGGAACAGCCAATTTTTAAAACTACAAATTACCAAAGGTAAATATAGCAGATAATGCACTTCACAATTATGTCCTTAAGAAAAAAATTCTACACACCCTCATTTTCTTTCCCTCTTAAGAATTTCTGGACAGAAAACATATTCCAAAGGGTAATCTGGGCAGAGGCCATCCCTATACTGACATTTTAGGGAGGAGAAATTCAAACTAGGAAATCTTGTGCCTGGCTCCCCACTTCAAGAACTGACACTGCTTTATAAACAAGTTCCAAAAGTCATGAGGCAAATGGCAAGGTTTCGAGGAAGGTTAGCCATCTATGAGGCCACCTACTCCTTTATCTGAGAAGAACAGGCTGGGATGGATGAAAGAACATGCCTAAAGTCACACTGCTGACAGCAGAACCAGGCTTAGAATCCACACACCTTGTGTTCTAGACCAGTGTTCCAGTTAAGAATTTTTTTTTAGTTTTATGCATTTCTTTACATGTGTGAAGATTATTAAGTTTAAAAAGCATGAGTATAAATCCAAATTCAGGAATCTGAAAAAAAGCAATGAAAACGGAAAAAGGCAAACAGGAATTAGTTTTTAACTGTCTCCCTGGAATATCTAATCCTACCCGTGAAAAGACCCTCCCTTAACTTCCCTGTTTAGGAGTCTAAAGAGGCAGCGCATAACCACTGCTGACCATGCAAACAGATGCATCTGTAAACGGGTACCTGGGCAGTGATGTACGTCACTGTCCCCACAAACAGCAGGGCACACTGGAAAGAAGCAGGGCGGGCAGTAACGTTCGGCAGGCACACGCTAGCAGTGGCCCGGCACCTGTTCTTTACTATCCCTGTACTATGCCTGCCAGCACCTCGGACATTTGATCAGCGACTACAAAAACACAGTATGCGTGTGTGGGAAATTAAAATAACATTTAATGATAAACAATGTAATAAAAATACACACTCACATGGCTCTCATAAAGAAGTATAAGAAAACACAAATTTTAAAAAGCAAAGTTTAATCACACATCTTAAGACTTTTCTGAAAAATTATTTGTAGACATTCAAGCTCCATATTTCAGTTAATCTCAAATTACTGAGATTAATAATATTTGCTAATATTGTTTCAAATTATTTGTTAACACTTGTTTCAAATTATTTCCAAATCACAATAACACACCAAATAGGACAACCTGCATTTCAATTCAAGTTTTTATTAAGCTGTGAATGAAGAAATGAAAACCCACACACGAATATGCCGACCACGGAGTTTCTGTGCATCAAGAGTGTGGACACAGGAGCGCAATCCTTTTCAATCCCAACTGCTGCACAGTACCTTCTCTTTTACTGCTGTTGGGTGCAGGGTCTTTTTAAGAAGGAAATTCTCCCGCAGGTTTTCACTATCAAAGTCCCACTCAGCACATCGTAACTCGATGTACTGCACAGCTCTCTGTGATGATGAGAACCTGAGGGAAAAGGTCTGCATATCTAAGGGTAAAGTACTGGTACAACAAACCCTAGTACGAACTGTTCAACTCTGAGCATATAATCCATATAATCACACACACAGAAATGCACCTAGCAGTACAGAAAGTTAGAAAGCAGTATCAAGATCTTTTTTTAAAAAGTGCCATAGGAAATATTCTGGCCAGAAAACAAATTTTGCTTACTCACTTTCCCACAAATTTTATCAATTTTTTGTACCAAGAATGGTGGCGATTTTTTTCCCCACCTACACAGGCATTGCCCTCTAGTGGCAAGTTTTCACCAGCAATTTAAAACATTTGGTCCAGTTCTGGTTATACTTAAGATTTGTCAAAGAATCCTTTCATCAAGTAAACAAATGTACTGGTACACAAATTCTGTGCACCAGACAGACTACTGATTTCTTAAAATTTTTTTAAACCACAAGTAAATAGAAGTGAAAGATATAACAGAAATGAACCTCTTTATGTGTTACCAAACTGTACTTTGGAGTCCATCTCTTCCTTCCTTTTTCATTCATTTTAGCCAATGATGGCAGTTGAGTAATAATACAGCAAAGAAACGTAAAGACTTGCCAGCTTCTGGAAGGAATGATGAAAATGAAACCTCAGCTGCAGACGCTGACGATGTAGGCGGGTACGCACATGCATTCCTGCCCCGCCTGCTTTCCGAAGTTCTTGGAGGCAGCCCCCCAACACATCTACTAGCGCAGAAGTAAATGCTCATGTTAAAGTTATACATAAATATCAGTTTCAAAGTTCACCTCGAATTTAGAAGCGAAAACTAAAGATCAACAACACATTTCCCTTGAGGTACAACTTGAAGGAAATAAATGAACGTTGCCAAAGCTTACAGAAATATGAAACCAGTACCATGAGTACAAAAAAGGAGCTTAAAGTTTTTCAATTCATGGTACAGGCAGTAAGTGATAGTATCTGTATACACACTGGTGAAAAATGCAAGACTGCTCTCAGCTGTACCCTCTAGGGCTGAAGAGATCACTGTTTTGTTCACAATAGACAGGAACTTGTAGACTAACAAGTCAAACTTAAGAAAGTCCTCGTAGAAAAACGCTGACAAGCACTTACACCACTGCAAATTCCTGATGAGTTCTTAGAATTCCAGAGTTAAAGTCACAAAAATCATTTTGCTTTTTTACATGTCAATACTCAGGGAAGAGGGTCTCCCTCTTAACACTCTTCCAGTGGTGTGAAACCACAGTCATGCAAAACAATGATTCCAATGACAACATATGAAACCAACATGGCAGGGTCAAGTTGACCTCCGTGGCCACCCAGGGCTAACGTCATACCGCTCAGCAGTGTGTGCTTTAACCCCACAGGCCAGCCCTCACAGCCCTGTGCACTATTTTTAGGTTACTTACTACCTTGGCTGCCTTTCTTCTTTAAAAAAACAAAGGGGGGGGGGGCGCTTAACTATCAAATTCAGAGCCTTGTAAATATGAGGCTTCTGTTCCATCCCCTGGGAAGACGATTCATTCTGATATTTATGGTTCAAAAAAAGTTGTAATATTCTGCTTGGAACACGGAGAACCAGTTATGAACTTCTTGCTACTATTATAAATAATAACAGCTCAGCCCACAGGTTACCATGACCTCTGACAGATCAAGGAAGCAAGTTATTTTCCCCACTTGTCATTACAGCACATTACAAGTCTTCTGGCCTTCTAATAAATGTTCTGGTACTCTGAGTTTCCCTTTCAATTCATTTAACTTCACCAGTCTGTCAAAAAGAGCCAATAAACAAATAATGAATTACACTGTTACCTCTTTTTAAACCCTCAAGCCCAGACTACAAAAACATCTGTGTCTTTCAGCCTGACCACCCTGCTCCTTTCCACACACAGGCCACCCATAATGCAGAGCAGGGCGCTAAGCACCATGGTCTACTTGGAGCCAGTTGACAGGAGGGCGATGAGTCCTGATGAAGCACTCATGGACAAAATGTAGTTCCTGTAAGAGTTTACTGTTAAGGAGAAATATTAGTTTTTCAACTAAATAAAAACAGCCCATCTCTTTGGAATGTAGTTTCCCTCCAACACTCAGTATAATCAAAGTGATGCGCAGCTGTCTGTAAACACAGTTTACAAGAATGAAAAATATTCACAGGAATGTGTTCCGGTTTTAAAACCAAAACACAACCAACCTAGACCTAGAACAGATGATTACTGAGAACCACCAAATCCCGTTTCGGCTCTAGAAGGGCGGACCGAGGAGCACAGAAGTAAGACACATGCTGCGCTGCTCTCCTGACAGCAAAGGAAAGACAGCCTCCTGTCAATCAGCGTCTGGCTGCAACTGGCTCATGAAAGAGTTCGCAGCTATTCCCAGACTCAGAACTGGGTCATTTTGGACAAACCACTGGAGTATTCCCAGAAGGGGTGTCTGACATTGCACCACAATCTCCACTGCTAAGTCTGGTTAACACCGTTAGCAGAAGCCTTAACAGGAGACAAATGGTTCCTGTCCACCTCTCAATGTAAAAGCAGCCTGAAACACTTCAAGAAATTACGAACTGTGCTTACGTAACTACACAGGCCATCCCATCCACCCAAACTCGACGTCCCAAAACAGTAGATGTATTTGTTTATGGCAGGAGCTATCAAACAAGGCAGGTTTGCTTTGACCCGTTGGCGCTTTTAAGTCACATAATCACACACACACACGATACAAGACTGCTTCATAATACTTGCTATTAATCATAAAGTCACAATTTACAAAATTTTTAAAAATTTTAAATCAAACCCAAAGCTATTCTTTTAAGGGTCCAGAAACTTGCTTATAGTCAGTGCTATTTAGTGGACGAATTCCCAGAGCAGTTTTTCTTTCCTCTACAATACCCAGCAACTACTGTTGTACTACTACTGTTTGCAGGCATCTGAAAAAGTTCATGCGCCTTCAAAAGGATACACTGTGGGATTGAAGTTCTTCAATATGAAGAAGGAAGCAACAATGACCAAGACCAGGAACAAAGTGTTGTTGTAAAAGATGGAAAATGTTGTAGCTTCATAATCAGCAACTTCATTCTTCTTCCACAAGATTCTAGAGACACAGAAACAAGCCAAAAACGTTTATAAATAGGTCTAAAACTTTAAGTACCACAGGGCTGGCATTCATTTTCAGTTTTTCCTGAAGTGTTCAAGGCTGAGAATCCATTTTTCAATAAATTTAGTCAGAATTTTCCCCCTTTCTTCCACTAAAAAGGCTATTTTGCTCGTTTTGCTGATGTTGAATTAACAGTTGATGGGTATGTCACCATTTTCCCACTCAGCCAGGGCTACGGAGGAAGGGACTACAAACGAAACAGCCATCCTTCTCCAGGTCCTCACCTAACATACCCTCTCGACAGCGCGTGGCTGATGCAAACAGGCTTCAGCAGCCTCTGTGGCCACCCCCGGCTTTAGGCGCTACTACAGCCTACGGCGGTAGCATTCACTTCCATCTGAAGAAGACAGTCCCCACCACTAAAAACCATTTGCGGCCTCACAGAAGTAGACTAAAATTAGCCATCTTTACTTAATTCAAAGAATCAGCTTTATCATAAGGGGAATTTTTTAAGTTTGTGAAACCCCTTTACTTTTTATTCTGTTTTACTTGTTCTTGTATTTCATCTTCTTTTTTACTAGTACTTCATCAGTCTTTTGTTTTACCCCTTCACACAAGTGAGAAGTTCCAGGTTGCCTCTGAAAGGCTGATTGTATTATTCCTGGTTGATTAACTTTGTAACGCAGTTTTTAAAAGGGTAGATTGTGAACTATTAGTGGGATGTGAAATACTCTGAGTGGATCAAATGCCCAGAGAAATTAACTGAGTGGATTGAGACCAACACTTTAAAAAAAGGAAACAGGAAAGAATACAAAAATATTAAAGACTGTACCACACAAAGTAGGGCAATTAGTATTCCGCAAAACATTTGCATATATGAGTGTACATATATGAGTGTATTTTGCTAAAAGGTAAAATATATTGTTTTATTGTGGGTCCTTATCAAAAAAACTGAAAGGTACTGCTTTGGCTGAAAAAAAGACACCACTCTTTGGTACAGACAAGCTTCCTTCTACCACAAGGACAATGAGTACAAAAACAGTTTCATTAAGTGTCCTAATCCAAAGTCAACTAGCACGGTTGTAAAGGGCCAAAGGGCTAAAGGACCTTATCTTCATCCTAAGAAATCCATAATCTTTTACACATATGCTCTCCTTGGTTCTACAGATACTATGAGCCTAATAAATTGTCAGTGTACTCTAAGTGTGGGAGAAATGAAGGACGTTACATTAAGGATTGCTATCAAATATAAAACCCCTTCTTATTTCAAAGAAATCTAAATGTAAAATTTTAAATATATATAACTTAAAATTGGCCAGGCATGGTGGCACATGCCCACAATCCCAGCCTTTAGAAAGGTAAGGCAGGAGGATCACTCCAAGTTTAAGGGCAGCACAAGACCAGCCTGGAAACACAGTAACACTGTCTCAACACGCACGCACGCGCACACACACACA